ATTGGAGTGTCTTAATTGAAAATGATGTTTGATATGAAATTATTGATTAAAAAAAAGGTAAAATTATATATAAAAGAAACACTCTTCTTAAAAGAAGAAAAATAAAAATAGAAGTTTTCTAATTCTTACCAAACAAATAATTTGTGAAATGCAGACTTTGACTGTAAAGCAAATTTGGAAATTTTGTTCTTATTTTTGTTATTTTCTTTCACAAGCTGAGATGGTAGCATGGCCATGTCCCATTTGTAGAAGACTGGAAAATGGAATGGATTCCTTCCGCATAACTCCTAAATCAACGGAAGTCAAAGTATGGGTTGATTAGTTGGCTCTGTATAGTTTATATATTTATAAATATAAAGTTAGATTTATTTTAATGTATCATTATTTTTTCATAATTTTTTTATAATTACAACAAATTAAATTTTTATTTTTTTCAAGATACTTAAATTTAAGATTATTAAACTTATAAATAATAGTCTAAACTTTTTTAAATTTATTTAGATAGATGCATACGTTGCCAAAACACAATTAGACAATGAGAGTGAGACTTGATTAATCTTATTTGGGTCAGCCCCTTACAATCTAATTTTTTACAAATGGTGCAAAACTGTAAAATGAGAGAATCAAATCGTATACCACCGCATGCGCAAGCGATATTTTTAAGTATTTTATATTTTAGAATATTAAATTAATGTGACTTAAAAATAGGAAAAATATTTCGTGGACACGTGGACTCAACAAGGAAAACCGTTGATAGTTTAGGAATAAAAAAATATTTGTTTAAGTGATGATTGGTTAACTAGTGTGTAGAAAATTCATTGAGAAAATTGATCTAGTCAATGTTCTGTGTCAAAATTATTTCTCTAACATATTTTTGTAATATAGAAAAAAAAATTTTGTTTTGTTAACCAAACTTTATTATATAATAAAATTAAATTAAAAAATTATTGTGTAAATAATTATAATTTGTTTATTATGAATAAATGAATAGAAAATTAAAAAAATTAATGTCTTTTCTTTAAAAATGGAATTGGCAATTATGATTGTTTGTTTAAAATAAAAACACTATCATATTAAAAATGGTTGAATTTAATTTTGGATATGTTTTTATATAAAAGATGAATGTGAGCGGAAAAGACGAGTGTTAAAAAATAAATATGAATAAAGAAGATAAATGTGATAAGATTTAATGTGAGAGGAAAACTATAGGTGATTTGAGATTTTGTCATATTTAAATTTGGACTTTTGATTAAAAATAACTATAATTTATATTTGTTTTCATGAACATGGATCTATATAAGAATAACAAAACAAGTCAATATGTTTAACCTCAACCCACTCGTCCGTCCAAAAAAAAAGTCGAGATAGATTGGATTTAACATATGTTTTATTAGTTTCATTTGTTATTAATTTTTGTAATTTTCCAGCACAAATCAAAATAACAAGCATAACAGAAATGCTAACTTTAATATAGTGCTATAAAAATGAGTTATAACCCGCGAGTCAACTCGGCTCACCACAGGTTTGAGCTGGGTTGGGTTTAAAAAAATATAACTTTTTTATGCGAGTTAGTTTTTAACCCGACTCACTTAGAAGCTGGCTCATCCTGATTGAACCCATGGTGAGTTAGGTCGGCTCATCAATCCACCTAATTTAATTTAATTATTTATTATTTTGTGTTTCAATATTATTAGTTAGTATTTTTTTTATTATATTGTAGATGGTCATAAAGAAGAAGATGTTTCAAGAGAGAAAAATTTTATAGATTTATCTATTCAAGACTCTAATATTATAAATGGACAAGTGATACAAAAATTATCAATATTAAAAACTTATTTGTTCGCATTTTGTGCTTGTTTTTGGATTATGCTTGAATTATATGGTTTTTTTTTTAATTGTCTTTGGAGTTTAATATCATTTTAGAGTGAAATTTATTCAGATTTGAATTAAAAAAGTTATATTTTTTTTATTTAAAAAAAACTTATAATTAAGTGAGTTAGTGAGCCAATCTGTTTAACCCACTAACTCATGGTGGGTCGAATTGTTTTAGCTGACTAACAAGTGAGTCAGGTTGGGTTGGCTCACTAAGTGACCAACCCGTGGTGGGCTGAGCGAGGTTGAGCCAAGTTACCCGTTTTGACAACTCTACTTTAATATATGATAATAAGATGATAAATGAGTAATAATAATACAATTATTATGATAATGTTAATCATAATTAATTAATTCGAATCTAAAATATTATTACAAACTAAAATCATTAAAAAACTGAATAAGAGAAAAAAAAAACAAAAATGATAATGACACTATACACACGTTAAACACATCGGATATCAAATAAATAAAGTCCAATTAGTTTTCACCAAACCTCATGAGGGCAAATCTAAAATTTGGAAGTGCAGAGTAAAACCCTTGAAAGTTTAGGTTGAAACACCTAATTTACAACTCGGCCTGTGGGACTAGCCTACTAGTTTTTTTTTTGTCATCAAATTTAATATAAATAGAAATTTACATGAAAACTGGTTGAAAAGGGTTACTGAGCACTATAGAGTTTTCAGGATGCTAAGCCGTATTAACATGAAGTGTCACAACAGAATAGTTACAATTTTTTTAATGAAGTTGAGCTACTGCACTAACTTGACCAACAAACTGACAAACTTGATAGACCAAGTTAATTTGAGCTTCTGAATTAAAAATAGTATCATAACATATCGAATTTGATATTTTTGCTATTCCTTGTAATATATAATTTAACATAAATTACGATGATACTAACTTAAGTAAATATAAATATTAAAAATAAATAAAATTAATATTAATTTGAATTATGTTAATATTATTTATTTTAGTTATGTTAATCTTCAATTAACATAAATATTTTCTTTTAATTTTTTTAAACAAAAAATTAACCTTTCTAACTATTAATATGCTTACATCTAACTATTAATATGTTACATTAAACAAATTATATCGTCAACTTTAATTATGACACTAAACAGAAATTTATTTATTAAAAAATAAAATATAATTTCATAATTTTTAATTTTTTAAATAATCTTTTCTGTCATGTCACACTAGTATTTGGAAACTAATTTTTGTTTCTTCTGCAGTGAATACATTATAATAAAAGAACAAAATTATCTTTTTCTTTTAACATTATAGATTAATACAAGAGAAATCTGATGGAAAGAAAAAAATAGAGACACTCTGATAAAGATAAAGACATTTAAAATTTTTAAGAGAGTATTATAATACATTCCTCTTCATTACAGTTTCTCTAAAATAAGAATTTATAATAGTTTATTGAAAGAGAATGTAAAATAACACAAAATATTAATTACACGTATACACACGGTTAGAACAAAAAAAAAAATCAAATTACATCAAACTTGATTTTTTTAAGGTGACAAATCAAAGCAAAGGAAAATAAAAATAGATATATAACAATTTTAACTATCTCAATGGTGAAAGTTTAAATTTTTATTATCTGAATTCAAAATTAAAGAAAATTAATTACTAGTTAATATATAATTAACAATTACATAAATATAGCGATTCACCAGTTATAAAAAAAAAGTTAATTGAAAGTTTTGAAAGAACAATTATAGCAAAATTAGTCTAAGAATCAATAGATATGAAATGTAAAAAAATTAAAAGAAATACTGAAATGTATTTTTTTTTCCCAAAAATTTGATTGCAAAAGAGGCTGATGTATGTATTATTTCTGGTAATGACAAAGAGTTGTAATATAGATTCAATCAACATAAAGGAATACTAAACTTATAACAACAGATTATATATCCAAAAGAGAAGAATTGTCTAAAAACATTATATATATTTGTTAAAAATATAAGAATATATTTGAAAAATGTCATGGTACACCGTTGAAAAGATACATAATTGGGGTGTCTGTAAAAGAGAAAACATAGAAAGTTGGTAAATTTTATTAAAGGCATCACGGACAAGATTTGAAAGAAAAAATCTTAAGAGTGAAAAAGTGGTGTATGGCTAATGAAACTATGGCGTATCTCCCTTGTTTTTTTGCATGATATCCTGGATAAGAAAAGAGACGTTAGAATGAGAGGACCCCCCTTTCTCCACGGCTCTTTTAGCCATCTCACCTAATTCTCTAACCCTTTCTCTTCTTTCTTCACTTTCACTTGTCTCATTCATTATCTCTGCTATTGCCCTTTCAATGTCTTCCTTCTTCACTTGCACACCGACTTCCTCTTCCTTGCCCCATGTCATCGGACTTTCCACCCCAACCTTCACTCCAACTTTCAGAACCTTCACCACCAGACTTTCATTCAAGAACTGATCCGCAAACAGTGGCCACGTAATCATTGGAACACCAGCACATATTGCTTCTAAGGTAGAGTTCCAACCACAGTGTGTTATGAACCCTCCAATTGCAGGGTGTGATAATATTAACAATTGAGCACACCAGCCTCGAATCAGAAGGCTTCTAGAACTTGTCCTTTCCTCAAATCCGTTTTCCTCAATCCACTTTTCCAATGATTCTGAATGTTTTCCTTCCCTGATAACCCAAACGAAGGGTCTTTCTGATGCTTCTAAGGCCAAACCAAGCTCTATCAATTGGGGTGCTGTTAAATTGCACAGACTTCCAAGGCATGCATAGATTACACTCCCTGCCTTCTGACAATCAAGCCATTTTATATGTTCAGACTCATCAACCGAAGCCCTACCTCTTTGAGCCTTATCCAAGTGATCCTTGTTAATAAGAGACACAGGTCCTATGCACCACACTTTATCATCTTTCACCTTCTTGTATTCCCTTGCATACGCTGGCTCCAACTCTTCAAAAGAATTCATGATTACCCCATACGTAGCCATTTCAGCAGCCATAA